ATGTTTTCTGCTTTCCCCCTTTCTCAGTTTTTCTGGGAGCATCCTATGGGAAAAAAAGAGCTACAAATCTGCAGAAGGAGGGCTTCAGCACTCTGTTTAGGTGGTGCTTAAATCCAGAGCCTTTTGAAAGGGCCTTTAGATTGATTTCTTAGGAAGAAAAAAAAAAAAGAAAGCAAAAGCTAATTTGTGATTAGAAGGCACAAAGATGTTCACTCAGATGGAAGCATTCCTGAAAAGCAAGGGGAAAACTACCCGAGCAATTCATTCAGCTGCCCTAAAGGGTAAACAGCAAACTTGAACACCAGCCACAAAGCCTGATTATTATTAACAGCTTGACCAAAAGCTTATGGGTTTTGTACTTTCCTTTGTACTCCTGGAATTTGATGAACTTAAAAAAATGTGTTTGACCCAAAGCAAGGAGGAGGGTGCCTCTGCAGCAACACAAGGCTGAACATTCCTCCCTCTCCTGCAGCCTGCCCAGCTGCCTCAGCCCAGGAACTTTTTCTGCCTTTACAAAATCATGTCAAATGTCTAATTGGGCCTTCCCTTCCAGGCTGTTGGAAGCAGCAGTGTGGGGAGCTGTTGACCTGGAGAGCTAATTGTGGAAGGGCTGGTGGCCAGGATAAAGGAGCTTTGCTTTGCATTCCCGTTCCCAACACAGCCCCTGGAGAGTACAGGTGGGTGCAGAACCTGGGAAGGGGAGAGGCCCACAGGACAAGAGCTGCCTCCCTAAAAATTCCTGCTGCTCTTGGCTGAGGGCACAAGAGGTTTCCCTTCGTGCTTTGTTTAGGGTAAGGAATAATCCAGATTCAAATCAACAGGAATGGTGGCAGGGTGTTCTGAAGGATTTGTCTCTTCATGTCGGAAATTTCCCAACCCTCCAGCTGCAAGTGGGGGGAACCCAAAACTAAACTCCTGCTGAAGGGAAAATTTTAATTTAGAACATGCACTTACAGCCCAGCCTTCATATCCTGCAAATCTGCATTTGGAGTCCCATAGGCCTTTTCTTCACATTTTTTCTGTCTTTCTCAGAAAAACCACCAAGCTCCTCCCCACCCAGGCAAGCAGAATGGGGAAGACAGTACACCCCACCGAGGCGAATGCTGAGCACAAATGGTGCTGTGCAGCCATAAACTGCATTAATGACTGCCCTCAGGAAATGCCAGAGCAGGGGTGAGCACACACGACCTACAAACTGTGCTTACATTACTCCCAGCAGCTCACCAGGCTTCTTTTCTCTCCCCTGCTCTGGGTGCAGCTCCCAAAATCCCTGTGCTCGCTGACTGCACCTGACTTGGAGCTACAATTGCCTGGAGCTGCTTTCTGTTCGTCCTGGAGCATTTTGGTAAGTGCTGGTTGAACATCTCCCCCTCCGAGGGATAAAATGTGTTCCTTGCAGGACAGCAACAGAGCATCTCTGCCTGTCTCTCATCCTGTTTTCCATGACCACCTGCCCAGTCGCTTCCTGGTGGTGGCTGAACACTCCTAAAGTTACATCTCTGTAAGGAGATGCCCAAGAAACTACAAAAGCTGTTCTTCTAAAGAGGATTCCAGGAAAATTTTCTTCCAGTGCTCCCTGTTACTTAGAGTAACTTCAGTTTGGTGTTTGTTTTTGTTTTGAGGAGGGTGTGGAATTTTTTTTTTCTCTCATTTTCAACTCTGAGAGAGGAATTTTCTCCCACTCAGCAGCACCCAAGTCAGGCTCAGCACCTTGCCACTGGAGGTAGGTGTCACGTAGCCCTTTTGTGAATTTACTGAGCTGCCAGCAGAGCCAGTCAGCAAGTTCAGCTAAAGGCTTTCCACGGTGCTCTCTGCCTCCAGCTCCGAGATCTGAAGGCACAGATGGGTCCAGAAAATCCTGTGCAGGTCAAGTTCTTTTTGCCATTTCTGCCACACACTTCAGTTTACTTTAATTTCAACTTTTTGGGGTGGTCTTGTGGTGTGAAGTTTGATAGACAGCCCCAAGGTGCACAAAAGACAGGGGAGGAGAACAGCAGAATTCCAGAAATATTGTCACCACCTAAGGATCTTGATAAAGAAACCTTTTTTTTGTTTTGTTTTTAAATCATTACAGGTGTGAAGCTGCACAGACAAATCACTGGAAACCCAAAGAACTATTCAGAAGGTGAAGTTACACCACACTGTCACTGCAACAAGCATCCAAGCCTTGATTACAGCCTGCCATCAAGAGAACCACAGAATCTGGACCAAAAAAAAAAAAAAAGTTACAAGAGGCTTAGCATTTAATGCTCTAAAGCACTAAATCCACAGCAAATCCTCCTGAACCTAAATATGCCTAAGACATATTTTAACTTTTTTTTTTTTTTTTAAGTTTTCACAAATGCCATCTTATGCTCCCAAAAAAACTATGCTGCACTGGTACTTTTGCTCTCTCAGTAGTCTGCAAATCAGGTTACAGTCCCGTGCCTCGAGTGCCCTTTTGGCACTCCCCTCTTTCCACCAAACAGTGAGCAAGTAAAAAGTAAGCACTTATTTGGATTTTTCTCCCCTTTTAAGCCCAAGCAACCCAAAAGTGTCCAGCAGATTACAGCTGATAGAAGCAGAATTTCTGGGGGTGGTTCAAGAAAGTTTGCCTGGAATTTACGCACGTTACTGATGGATAATTTTATCACCTAAAACCTTGGGGAGGGTTTTAGTAAGAAGAAACACATCCCTCCACTTGTGCACATTGACTCAAACAAAAAAGCCAGTGGCTGCTGTGATTTACCCGACTCTAAGTTTTAATTCTTGGTGGTTTAGATTTAAATTAAGTAGAGGCTTACCCAGTGTGGAAAGTAATTAATTTTTCTCCACTGGTGCTTTTTCATTCTCCACACACACACAAACACACCTTGGGATCACTTTCTGGCTTCTTTCTCCCAGGACTGGTGTGAAAGCTGAACCTGGTCAAAAGCCTGGCTGGCTTTTTGCAAAACCAGCCTGGCTGTTAATGGGGAAACAACAAAATACTCCCAGTTTCTCCCACTAAATGGAAGTTTTATCCCATGGAAAGAGAACAGCCATAACGTCACTTACTTCCACAAGAGAATTCCCACTGCAAATGTGATGGGGCTCCTACAGATTCTGGATGGGAAGAGGAGAGCCACACATGGCAAATACACCCGGAGCAGCCTTCCCTTCCTTTTCCTTTCCTTCCCTTTCCTTCCCAGGCAGGCAGATGAATGCCTGAGCAGGCTCCATCCCTGGAAGCAGCGCTGCTCCCAGGCCAGGGAAACACCCTCCAGGCAAAGGCAAACAAGCTCTATCAGTAAGAGTGCACTTGTGCAGATAACTGCTCCTGCAGCTGGGACTGGTGCTGGCACAGCTCTGGCAGTCACGGCTGGGAAACTCCACAGCCACTGCCACGGATCTGCGAAGTTCTGCCTTTCCCAAGCTGCAGCCAGGGTGAGTTTGTCCAGCAGTCTGCTGGTGGGGAGGCTCAGCCTGGCAGGCTGGGGTCTGGCCTTCCAAGGGTGCCAGGGAACTAAACTCTGCACAGGAACACCTATGGGCCGTTTACACTGAGTTTTATCCTTCAATTAAATGCACAAACGAAATGAGAAAGAGCCCCTGTAGGAAGAGATAAAAGGGAATAAATTAAATTGTGCTGCACTTCAGCACTCAGAGCAGCCCCCGCTTTTAACAGTAAGAAGGGAACAAAATGGAAAGTGTTTAACGGGGTTTGTTTAGCAGACAGACAGCAGAGCGCTGCAGAATTCCCACTGTTCTGTGAAGGCCAGCAGGCACACTGCAGGGCTTTGGGAGTCACCTCTGGACTGGAGTCACCTCCCAGGCTGGAGCTCCAACACAAGTTCTGTTTGGGTGAAGCAGCACCATCCTGCAGGCTGGGTCATTATTCCAGAGCACAGAGGTGTCAGCAGTGCACGCTGTCCATCTCCTCCAGAGCCACATTCTGAAATCAGGCTGGAAGCACCTCCCCAGTGGGGAGGGAGCAGGGCTCTGTCCAGGACACCAGGTCAGGCTGTGGCACAGAGCAAAACTCAGCGTCCCAGCAGCCTGGATCAGCAGCCGTGCCCATGGATGCTGCCCCCCCGCACAGGGATGTGTGGCAGAAGCATTTCCCCGTTTTCCACAGGGAGAACAGAGATGAAATCCCTGTCAGGCCGTGCTCTGCCTTCACCAGAGCTCTCTGGCCCTCCAAAGGGGAATACAGGACGATACAAGGAATTTCCCGGGTTGTGAAGAATAATGCGCTATTTCTTTTTAAAAATAAACCCGTTGCCATCACTTTCATTATCAGCCATGTCTACACACCACAAACAACTCCTGGGTGGGTGCTTGCCCCTCTAGGTTAGCTCCGAGTTGTGGGGGAGCTTCACATTTTAACTGTAAGAAATTCCCTGCGTAACCAAGGCCGTGTAAAATTTATCAGCACGGCAACTCAGAAGTTGTACCTCCCCAAAACAAATACTCAGCCTATTCAAAGTTTCCAAAAGGGCCAGATAAAAGCCACTGCTCTAAAGATTTCCAGAAGGTCAGATAAAATGTGGTGTGGCTGGGAGCAACAGAGCCCTCCGCCACATTGAGCAGGAGCACCGCAGTTTAACAAGGGAGCCCCAGACTCTAACAAAACTCAGTGTTTAAGTGCGTGCATTCCTTTGCGAGCACCACGCCTGGCCTGGCAGCCCAGGTTTTATTGCAGGTGACACTCCTGTCATCCTCCTCCTCCGGAACTGCTGCGGAGAAACCCACTGAGAACCCACCGGGAAAAGGCGGCCGGACCAGCGTCTCCCCGAAACGGCCTGACCCCGAACACCCCCTCACCCCAAACCCGCTGGGGTCACGCACAGCGCCGGGCCGGGATCCCAGCACGGCACGGGCAGGGCACTGGGGCCGAGCCCTGCTGGCCCCGCGGCCGGGATTCGCCCCACGGCCACGGCTGGGGTGACTCCCGGGGCTGAGGTTCACCTCCAGCCTGGGATCTACCCCACGGCCGGGGTTTACCCAAGGCCGGGGCTCACCCCACGCCTGAGGCTCACCTCACGGCCAGGCTTCACTCCGGGGCCCACGAGCGGGACTCGCCCCAGCGCCGCGGCTCACCCCACGGCCGGTACCCGTCTCCGCGCCGGGATCCGTCCCCCCGCGCCCGGCGCCGGCCCCACGAGCACGGCTCTCCGCACGGCCGCCCCCCGCGGCACCCCCTCGGGCAGNCGCGGGGAGGCGGCGGCGGGCGGTGCCGGGGCCGCGGCGGGGGGAGCGCGGGCTCCGGCGGCCGCACGGAAAAAACCTGCCTCCCCCTTTGCCCCCCTCCTTTTCCCATCCTCTCCCCCCCGGTGTCACGGCCGGGGAGTGCGGGCGTTTGAGTGTGCGGGTATGGGGCACCTTTGCTTCTCCTCCTCCGGGTACCGGGGTTTGGTTCGGAGCCCCGGTGTCCGTGGCACGGGTCCTCGCGGGAGCAGGGGAGTGCAGGTAAAATGAAAATAATTATAAAAAAAAGAGCACCTAGGGAGTGTCTGAGGAAGCAGCAAGCGGTTGGGGCAGCGCAGGGAGGGACAAGACATCAGGCTCCGGGGCTTTTAATTGGAATTTGCTTTCTGCTGCAGCTGCCCCAGCCGATGCTGGAGCCAAGAAGTTCATGGATGGCCGGAGAGCGGGAAGGGCCGCAGCGATGGAGCAGGGAGCGTTGGTAGGACACAGGCTTTGGGGCTGGCTGGGCATTGTCTGCGAGCCCGAAATCCGCGCTCCAGGGCAGCGAAAGGCCAGAGGCTCACGGGGCACTGGGGGAAGATGGCCAAGGATGCAGGGTCCCTGCCACAGGTGCACATTGAACAGTCTCCTCTCGCACCTTTACAGTGCCAAGTGCCCGTCCAAAATCACCGCATCTCCGCCCTGGAGCTTTGAACGAATGGCTGCCCCCCTCAGCTGAGGTGTTTTAGCCGAGGAGGGTTCGTTCTGCTCCCGTCACCCTCACGCCTCACCGTGTCCGTCCTTTCCCAGGACACCGAGCCAGGGCTTGGATTGGATGAGCACGGTTTTCTTACAGCTTGTTTTGCACAGCCACCCGTGCCTGGTCTAAAAATCCTTGCATGCGGATCCGTTGGGGAATTTTCAGCAGCCGCATGTCCCTGATTTAAAAACTCCTGGACAGGTGTTGACTGGGGAAGACTGCGGGGTTGGAATGTTTTTAGTCAGGAGCACATTGGTGTGGAATAAAAGCCTCCTTTAAGCATTACAGTTTGTGGTGTGAATCTGAACAGTTCGGGAGATGGTTAAACAAAGCCTTTGTAAGCGGATGCTGCTCCAGGACAGTCTCTTTTCCCACCCAGTCCGCGTGGGAATAGAAGTGAGACGGCATCCGGAAAATCTCTCTTTGGAATTGCACGTGGCTTGCAGCAGGCGCTGTTGAGGCACCGACAGGCGATGTTCTCCCGCGCAGACGAGGCCGAACGGGTGTGAACAGCCCACGGCTGAGGGCCGCGGCCCTGCCTGCCCTCAGCAGCCGCCGCCATGCTGGTTCGGGGAAGGGGAACCACTTCGGCCAGCAGCGCTACCAGACAACCGCGGCTTCGCCCTGAGGCCCCTCTCAGGCCGCTGGAGAAGCGAGCTGGAGGCTTTTGACCAGCCCCGGGCAGTAGGTCACCTTCCCGGGGCAGCGGGCAGGCGCCGGAACCCGCGCACCCGCGGAACGGCAGGCCCGGGCGCGGCGGGTTGGGGGGACGGCGGTCGGCGGCACACCGCTGGCGAGCCGGTCCTGCCGGAACGTTTCTTCGCGGCCTCGGGGAGCGAGTTCCGTGGGGAAGGGTTGCGGCGGCGCACCAGGGCGGCTCGGCAACATGGCGGCGCCCAGCGCCCGCTGGCTGTGGCGAGGTGAGGGGGCCCTGAGGGCTGCGGGGGGGGCTCTCCGGGCGGGTCGGGCGCTTCTCTGAGGCGGTGTTTGCTGTCTCCCCGCAGCGCTGGCCCTCCCCGCGCTGGAGCAGCGCCTCGCCGCCGTGCCGAGCCCCGCCAGCGCGCGGCCCTACGCGGCGGCAGCGGCCCGGTGAGTGCGGGCCCGGCGGGCCCGGAGGGGCTGGGGCGGGCTGGGTTGGGTGTCCGCGGTGCTGGGGCGGGCTGGGTTGGGTGTCCGCGGTGCTGGGGCTCGCGGGCTGCCGGAGAACAGGCACTGGGAAAGCGCGGCGCTGCGGTCTTGGGCTGTGCTTCTGCGGGGTGCATAAAGGTTTGCGAAAGACGCCGGTCACTTGTTTTTTTGAAATTTTAAAAGTTTAATGGTAATAAAAGGGTTATAACAATAGTAGTATAATAGGAATAATAAAATTTGAACATGTGAGGTTAGGACAATATGAGACAATAAAAACAAAGAGATACGGACGTCCGGGTACCTTTTTCTGGGCAACACAAGCCCGAAAAAGGACACCGGTTAACAGAGGATTAACCCTTAAAAACAATTGCCTGTTGCATATTCATACATCTCATATATGATGCATAAATTCCATTCAAACCAGGATTCTGTCTGGTCACTGTCAACTTCTTCCTCTTAATCCTTATGCCGTCTTCCTGTCTGAGCGAGGTGGGAAGAAGTTAATTTTTTCCTGATAAGGGAGCAACAAATTCCTTTTCTCTGAAAGATTTAGGTGTCCTGTGGCTCCTATCTGGTGCGAGTCCTTTCTTAAACAAATATCTTACATAGCACAGTTTCTATTTTAACATTCTGTTATAACCTAAAACTATATTTAATACACTACTTAAGAAAATTAATATAGCATAACTTTCTAGCATAATGCAATATTCATTTTAATACTTGCGAAAAGCCAATCACAAAATACACATTTTTCACATTTTCCTTGCCCGGAGACCCTCTGAAAACAGGAAAATGAGAACTGGGTGCTCAAGTGAAAGCAAAGTGCTGCGGGAGAGGGAGGGGAAAACCTTGCTTTGTGAAATCGGAGTGCCGTGCAAATCAGATCGCTGCTGACCTCACAGCGTGTCTTTTTGGGTTCAGAGCTGCCAAAAAAGAGGCCAAGAGGAGCAGGCAGGAGAAGGGGAAGGAGGCGGCCAGGGAGAAGCCCCTCCCTCGGAGGCGGCCGCTGATGAGCAAGCCCGTGGACGACGTGTACCTGACGTGGCTCTACAGGAGACCCTCCTACGGGCTGGAGCAGGCCGTGGCCATGCTCAAGAGGTTCCAGGAGCTGGACTTCACCCACCCCAGGCAGTTTGTGTACATCAACGTGTTCCTGGACATGGCGCTGCAGAAGAAGGTGGGGCTGGCCCCTGCGGCACCACTGCGGGTCTGCTCGCGCCGGGGGCAGCCCCTCGCCTCCTTGGCCTTTCTTTTTCAGGGCACCGGCTGCCTGTGAGGCTGTGGTTTACCCTCGAGCCTTAATTTCCTTTGGTTTGCTTTCATTGTTTTGTTTTCTTTTTAACTTGCCAGAAAAAAGTGGATCCTTTTTCCAGCGGTGTCGCTCTGCCCCATCGCTTCACGGACGAGGTGAACAAGGTGTTGGTGTTCACAGAGGTGGGTGAGCCAGAATTCCTTCATTTTCATGGGGATTTGGTGCTCCCAGAGGTGGGTGAGACAGAATTCCTTCATTTTCATGGGATTTGGTGCTCCCAGAGGTGGGTGAGCCAGAATTCCTTCATTTTCATGGGATTTTGGTGCTCCCAGAGGTGGGTGAGGCAGAATTCCTTCATTTTCATGGGATTTTGGTGCTCACAGAGGTGGGTGAGCCAGAATTCCTTCATTTTCATGGGATTTTGGTGCTCACAGAGATGGGTGAGCCAGAATTCCTTCATTTTCATGGGATTTTGGTGCTCCCAGAGGTGGGTGAGGCAGAATTCCTTCATTTTCATGGGGTTTTGGTGCTCACAGAGGTGGGTGAACCAGAATTCCTTCATTTCCATGGGGTTTTGGTGTCCAGCACACTCCTGCAGCTGTCCTTTGCCAATTAATATTTTATCTGTGTGAGATGATCCCACAGAGCTGCCATGGGTTTATTTGATGACTCTTTGGACCCGATTGTTTGGAATTCTCTCCCTGAGCTCGATTGGCAGCAGAGCAGCAGCAGCCTGATTGGTAGTCCAGCTGTTTTTAATGACTTTTTTTCTCTCAACAGAACGAGCAAGAAGCTGAGGCAGCTCGGGAGCACGGCGCTGCCATCGTGGGAGGAGTTGAGTTAATCAAATGGGTACATATTTTTCTTAAAGAATTGCATAAAAATCCCAATTTCAGCAGGACTGGGGCCTGGGGAGGGGAGGAAGCCTGGTGTGCAGTGAGCTCCAGCTGGGAGGCAGCAGGCAGAGTGAGGGATGTGCTTTTGGACCCTTTTGTCAGTCAGCTCCAGTGCAATCAGTGGGACTGTGCTTGTTGCAGATCCTGGAGGATGAAATCCAGGCTGATTTCTACGTGGCTGTCCCTGCCATCATCCCCAAGCTAATCCCCCTGAGGAACAAACTGAAAAAGAAGTACCCCAGCACCAAGAGAAGTAAGGAGCAGTGCTTGGTTCCAGCTGCAAACACTTCCTGAGGGAGGTGGAGCCCTGGGGGTGCCTCTGGGATGGTTTTTTTGATGGGTGTGTGGTTACTTTGGGTGTTAGCCTGGGGCTGCACCACTTGTCTTAGGTCAAGGGAACTTTAGGGATCCATTTTTTTTCCTGCCACAGGCAAATCTGGGGTAAGAACCCAGATAAATTTGCCTGCTAGGTGCCCATTTTTGACTGGGGAAGGAGGGAACAGGGAGACTGTTTCTGTGATCTCACTTAGGACACCATTGTCGTGTCTCTGAGACTGCATTTTGGAGTGGTGTTTGCCTTAGTTAACAGATGGAATTATCTCTTTCCTGGTGCCACACCCATCTGTGCTAATTACCATTGCTGAGACCACTTCTTTTATTTATTTTTTTTTAACAGATTCCCTGGGCAGTGACATTCCCAGGATGGTGCAGTTCTTCAGAGAGTGTCACGAGTACTCGGTGCAGGATGAGAGTGTCATCAAGACAAGAATAGCCAGAGTAAGTGTGAACAGAGCCCTGATATTTCTGCCCTGAGCAGAACTGTAGTATTCCAGGAGGGGGAAAAAAACATCTTTTCAATCTGTTTCTCCAAGTTTTTGACCATTTTTTCAGCTAATCTGTGAAGAAAATAGAACTCTGTTGTGTGGCATCTTCAGCTGGTTTTAAACTTCTTGGGGTTTTTGTTGGTTTTTTGTTTTGGTAAATGAATAAACTATAGGTTTGTAAGTCCATGGTCAATATGCACAGGAGAGTCAAAAAGTCTTTGCTTTAACCAAATAATTAAAGACTTCTCATTTTGATAACTGTGGTTCTGGACTGGAGTAGGAAGCAAGAACTGTTTGTGTTACCTGAAATAGAACATTAATTTTGGCTTATTATTTCGTTTTCTCTGCCCTAGGCTTTGGGGTTTTTTTGTTTTCCTTCTGGTTTGTGTCTTTGTAATCCTGCCTGATGTTGGGTGTCCCTCTAACTGAGGGTGGCACAGGCAGGAAGGGTAGGAAATGCCTGAAGCTTTGCCTGGCAGTGTTGGAGACAAATGAGTTGTTTAATTCTCACTATCTGCTCTGAGCTGTGCATGGGCATTCCAAGGGCTTCCTTGTCTGTGTTTTTTGTGTGTAGCTGGAATTCTGGAGCTTGCTGTTGGAGGAGTCAGACTTAGTTAAGAAATAAGAAGGGAACAAACAGCTTAGCTGACCCTTTTTACAGCACACTGTGCTGCTCAGGAGAGAAGTGTTCAAAACATGAAGCAGCAAGATAGGTGTGCATCCACAAGGATTTACTGTGGGAAGCTGGTTTGGAAGCTGGCATCTTCCTTTGAGTATGAAAACTATTTTGTCTGAGCATTACCTGTCCTCATCATGGAGCTGATGAGTTGGTTCTTTTGATTGATTTCATGCTGTTCAACTCCTGATGCCTTCAGTTCTGGGTGTTGATGCATTTTGTGGCCTTTTGTTTATCCCATGCAGGATAAACACAAACAGCAGTGCTTTCAGACCTGTCCACCTGGGCTCCAGGCATCACCATGACTAACTTGGCACTGTCCTTTTGCAGCTGGACATGCCCACAGAGCACATCACTGCCAACCTGAAAGCAATCATCCACGACATCTGCACCTTCAAGCCCTCCAATTTTGGTAAGGTTTGTTCAGGCTGCAGCAAACCCCAGTGGGAGATGGGTGTTCTTTACTGGGTTGTCATGCAGTTACCTTGCTGCTCTCCAAATAGCTCTTAAAATTCCTGCTCCTCCAAGGGAAAAGCTGGTCCTTTCTGTCCCCTTTCTGTCCCCTTTCTGTCCCCTTTCTGTCCCCTTCTTAGCAAAAGGAATAATAAAGTCAGCTTTAAGCAGAGAGCATCTGCTTAGCTGGAGAGGAGATGGTGATTCATGAAATAATTTTAGGAAAGCAGCTTTGTGTAAGCTACAATCCCATTTTTTGGTGTTGGTACTTGCTTAATGTCTGCCTGAAGAATGATCTTGTCCCTCTGCCAGTGATGCTGCTCACAGTAGCTGCAGAGACCAGACCATAAAAAGCCACGTACACATGCCTTGAGAAGCCCAAATGAAAACTATAAGGGGTTGCCTGACTTGAAATATAAATGCAGAAAAGTGTGGTTTTTTAAATGAATTTAAATCAATGTACATCAGCCCAGTTTAGTGAGGATTACTTTTTCTGCTCTGAGCAGCTTGCTTTTTTAATTTTATTTGGAGTGTCAAGCCTGGTCCTTGTGGTGTTCTTTTACTGGCTTGGTGGCCAACATTTGGTGGGAGCAGTCAGCCTGGAGAGCTGGGAAGGGGTGGAGTGACCAGTTTGGTGTGCCCTTTTTCTTCCTAGATCCCATTGTGCAGAGGCTGGTGATCAGATCCTCCACCAGTGAAGGCTTGCAGCTGAACCTCGATGGAATCCTGCCTCAGGTGGAGAAAGCAGAACAAAAAGAGGAAGAAAATGCAGCTGCTGAGGAGCAGCAAAAGCCTGTCCAAGAATCCCTTAGTACCTGATGCCTTTTCCTCGTGGAGCTGGGGAGGCAAACGGTGTCACTCAAATCATGCTCTGTGAGAACAGAAAATAAATGGAACTCGTGGATTTCGTGTCGCAGTTGGGTGTAACGTTGTCACGAGCAGGAGCCTGTTGTCAGAACCAAGCAGATGCTTTTCCCCAAGGAAGAACAGGATGTGTTTTGTGGGGGGCAGCGAGCGTGCAGCTTGCTCCGGTGTGTTTTCCTCGCCTGGTTTTCTGGAATACCAACTGGGCACCCGGCTCTTTCCCGGTGCTTTCCGCTTTCCTTCCAGGAGATGGCGCTCCCTTCCAGGAGCTGGAATTTCTCCTGGGCTGGTTTTTTTGGGGGGCTCTGTTGCTGAACACGTGTTCGTAAAGCTGCACCCCGAAATGCAAGATGGTCCCAGAAAGGACTGGCTATTTACAACAGGGATGAGCTGATCCAAATCTGGCAAGGTTTAAATCATTCCTATTACTGGGCGTGGGCCTCCTTTTTCCAAGAGTTACTGGGATCTGTCTGCATGGAAATTATTTTAGCTCCCATCAGAAGCATTTGGCTGCTGTCAGTCAGAGTGACCAATTCCTGTCAGGCCACACTGATTATTTTGGTTGTGTGGGGTGCTTTGCTCAGAGTTTGATCCAAAAAAAACCCTTTAAAGTGTGTATAGGAAGGTTTCACACTGGCTTAATGGACATTGCGTGTTGTCAGTCAGGGAAAAGCAATGCCAGTGTACTGGAATATCTTTATTTGCAAGGCATTACACATGTAAGGGGTATTATGAGGCATTCCAGTGGTTGGGGGTTGTTTGTGGCCCAAAAGGAGCAATCTGAATATGAGTGACCTGTTGGTAAAGAAAAGCAAAGGCTGTGGTATTATCTGCACAGATTTCTTTGTCTTTTCCCTGTTCTCTTGGCTTGTTTCCAAGACTTCACTGTCCATTTTGGGAAAAGATAGGCCTGCCCTCTTTGATGGGTGGATTTTAAAAAGAAAAAGTGATGCTTAAGCATAAATGCACAGGTGAGCTTAAATCAGAAGCTCTCAGACTGCTGAGTGTGCTCTCAGAGAATAAGAGCATAGAATAATAAATGTTCCTGCAGGAATCTGCACTTGGAAAATCCCAGAACTGTGGGGACACAGGAAATCTGGGCCTCAGGAGGTCAGGTGGGCAAGAGAAGTGGCTGATGGGCTCAGCAAGTTTTCAGGTGCAGTTCTGAGCTGGCGTTCCTGATTGCTGAAGCAATAATGCCCCGGGCTGTGCCATGCTGAAACAGTGCTGTACCAGCTGTTGAGTGCTTGGGACTTCTTTTTATCCTGGAATGCTGGATTGGCACAGGGTGGGGAATGATGGAGGGGAGGGAGACAACGTGACATGATTGCTCTTTAATGAGCTGAGTCCCCAGACGTGCAGAGTGGGACCTGTGGTTCTTGGGCCAAGGTGCCTTAGAAATCCCTTGAATTGTCCCACTGAGCGTGACTGCAGTGGCACTGCTGGCTTCTGGAAGTCCCTGTGGGATAGAGGGAGGGAGCACTGCAGCGCCTTCAGCCCTGCAGATGAAGGATGATGGCTTTTAGGTTTGTTTGATCTGGACCTGCTGTTGGTTTAACTACGGAGCAGAGCTGGGAGTCAGGCTTAGTGACACACGCAGAAACATTTGCCCAAAGAAGGAAGAAGTTGTGCTGGCAGCCTGTGTGCAGCTGTGGGGACTGCAGGGTTTAGGCTGACACTCAGCCCCAACCTGGCCTTGTGGGGGAATTCGTGGCACTCCAAAAAACCTGGAATCTCCGTGGGTCAAGCTGAGTTCATGGGGCTCGTGCTGGGAGTTCTGCCACAGCTGGAGGAGCAGGGCAGGCATGTGACAGCTGCCACCAGGGGTGACAGGTTTTTAGTGCTGTGATGGGTGTTCTGAGTGATTAACTATGATTTTATTATCCATGTTCTGCAATACCACTGGTCTTGGCAGACTCTGGGAGAGAGGCTAATGCTGTAGCCAAAGATCTGTCCATGTGGGAAAACTTGGATTGACTGAAATAGGACAGAGAGGGGAAAAAAGCTTTTGAGACTGACTAAAAACACTGCTAGGAATAAACACAATTCTTCTCCAAGCAGTTATTTCTGTCAGTGCCTCAGCTTGCAGGTGTCTAGAGGCTTCATCCCACCAGGACAGGAAGGGAGAGGTGTCAGTGTGGCCCCTGCAGGACTGCTTGGAGAACAAGGAAAATGCCAGTCTTCCCAAATTGCCAGGTACTGGGAGATGCCGGGTTGAGGTCACACGTGGTGAAAATGCCACGTTGTTTTTGTGGGCTCATCTCATGGATTTTAAAAGGCTTATTAAAAACATTGTAAAAAAAAAAACACTTAAAAGCTGGAAAAATAACTGTCAGGTGTTCTGGAAGTGGGGAATGCAGATGAAAACTCCTTCACTTGCCAGAGATGGATCCTTCTCAAGCCTGAGCCAGCACATGCCCAGCTTTCCAGGAACACGAGGTATGTCTGGCTCCAGTCTCTTCAGCCAGGGATTGCCAAGTGGAGGAATGGCTCTTTCACACCAACTTGCAGAAGACTGACCTCTGCCTGGATGTTTGATTAAAAAAAGAGGAGGCTAAAAGTGGTTTATTTCTACAGCCCCAGTGACTTTTTGTGCCATTATTGTGCCATTAGTTCCAAGATCTGTGGCAGCAGCTGACAGCTGCATCAGTGCTTTGCAAGTTGTGCCCTTCAAGCTTTCAGCCTGTGAACTATCTCATATTTCTCCTGAAAGAGTCTGAAGCTTATTTTATAATTTTACTTGCTGCTAATTTGTAAGTAGACTCGGAACAGAAATGCTGCTTTTATGTTAAATAGGATGCGAAGGACAAAACTTCACCAAACTGAATTTCTGAAAATTTCAAGCCTTTTGCACTGAGTGCAAAACTTGAGAAATGCTGGCAAATGAGTGTTTGCTAGAGGGAAAATCTGAAAAATTATGGGTCTGGAGTTCTGACTTTTAACAGGGTCTTGGGAGCAGTGTTGTGAGAAGAGCAGGAAGGAAGGTAGGAGAAATAGGGAGGAGGAGGCTGTAAATGGACTAGGGAAACAAGTTGTCAAAGGCTAAAGAACAGCAGCAGCAAGATCAACAACACATGGTTAAAAGATGAGCTGGACACATTTATATAAAGTTACTGACCCCTCTGTGTGCTTGGCTTTTATTATTTCCACCTGTTCTATATGAAGTTATTGAACCCTCTGTGTGCTTGATTTTAATTATTTTCACCTGTTCTTTCTTGCTGGCGTTCCTTTGAGTTTGGTGAGGTTGTCCAGAGTTTCACCTGAGGAATTAGAAGGGATCTGGGGCTTGTGTGTTTTTTGCTGTGGGAATTCCAGCACAGTGATTAAAGGCATACAGTCCTGGGGAAGGAAAAAAAAAAATTAAAAAAAATCTGACCTCCAACTTAGAGTTCGAAATGGTAGTGGGGAGGGAAAAAAAAAAAACAAAAAAAACCCCAAAAAATCTGACCTCCAACTTAGAGTTTAAAATGGTAGCGTTCATTAGGAAGTGAATCAAAACTGAGCAGATGATGGAGTTACCACGGGGAATTGTTGTCAAATTGAGCTGCCATGGTCGCATTTAATCAGGCAAGGAGGAGATGAAGGCAGCAGCAGCAGCAGCCCAGGCCGGTGCAACCCTCTGCTGTGTGGGAACTGGGGTGCTGCTGTGAAGCAGGAACGCTGAAATTGGCAGGAAAAAAAACCCATTTCATTCACAGACTAGTAAAAATAAACTCCCTTTCTGAGTTCATTTTAATTTGGGGCTCGGAATGGCTGTAACTTCAAATTGGGGCTGTTTTTCTTTATCCTGTGACTTGCAGGAGCCAGACTTTCATTTGGAAACGTTGGCTCCAAGATGTGTTGAGTGTGCAATGCTGGAGGGGTGACATGGGAAGCTTTTCTTGAATTGACTTAGTACTGTGTGTGGAAGTGCTTAAAGCAAGAAAACTCTGTAAGGGCAGCAGTTTAACTTGAGTTTCTAATGTTTTTTGTTTTTATTTTAGTTTGAGTGCTTGATGTGTGATTGCTAGAGAGCTCGTCTTTAACTCTTGCTTGGATTTGCTCTAGGAAGAAAGAGCAAAGCAGCAGCCGTGCCACGAAGAAATGGACATGGAAACAGACCAGGCTTTGATACTTCTTGTTACAATCCTACAACCCAAACTGACACCCAAAACACAGTAAATTAGAGGCTTCCAACCCGGGCGAGGGGGTGACCTCTCCCTCCCAGCCACCGGCGTGGATCAGGTCGGTGGGGTCAGACCCAACACAAACACGTTTGCTCTGCCTAATCCCGGCACGGCTGCGGCATTACCGGGGGCTGCTCCATCCCCAGGCAGCCGGCGGGGCGGGGGAGGAGGAGCGGGAGTCCTCAGCTTTGCCTAATCCCGGCACGGCTGCGGCATTACCGGGGGAGGAGAAGCGGGAATCCTCTGCCCGCCCGGCGCAAGGTGCCGGGGAGTAGGAAGGGGGGAAGGAAGGGAGGAGGAGGAGGAGAGGCTCGGGCGCCGGGAGGAAGGAGGGCGCAGCGCTGCCCGGGGCGGGGCGGGGGGCGGCGCGGAGCTGCCCCTTTGTCTGCGGGCCAAGTTTGGCCTCGGCCCCGGCACCTGCCGCGGGCCCGGCGGGCACTGGCCGCTCGCTGCTCGCCGCCAGGGGCCATGAGCACCGCTGGGGCCGCCGTGCTGCTGCTGCTGCTGCTGCTCCGCGCCGCGCTGGCCGATGCCGCCTCAGGTGAGTCGCCGCGCCGGGCGCGTCCCCGTCCCGCGGGCGGGGGGGGATCCCTGAGGAGAAAAGCGGCTGCGGGCCGCCTTTTCCCCTGGGATACGGCACGGCTGTGCCTCCCTCATCGCGCTCCCGGCCCGGGCGGGGGTCCGCCTCCGCCCCCCGCCATTTTGGCGGCTTCCCCACAGGCGAGTGAGGGGCGCCGGGGCAAAAAAACCCTCGCGCTCCCCCGGCTGCCGGGCGCGAGTCCCGCTCCGGGCATCGCCGGGCTGCCCCTCAGGGCGGCAGGGAAGGCGGCCGTGCCCGGCTGAGGGGTGCTGCCCCGGCACGGCGTGTGGCGCTGG